CTCTCTCTCTCTCTAGCCCACGTGCTTCAAAGTCCACAAGGGTATGTGTGAACAAAGGAAGAGCTTCTGGAGTTTGGCTGTCTTTTAAGCTTTCAGATGTGGTACACAACTTACTTGTACTCCTTGTAACGGTCACTTGAATCCTCTACTCCCCTTTTAATGCTTGTGTTTTGTAAAAGATCATCAATTTTTGAACCTGAAACATCTACTCCTGTTCATGCTCTTTTATAAAATTGATGTTTGCACTCCTATTTAAACAATTTTTAAGTGTCTTCATTTAATATGTTAATCCTTAGCCTATTTTACATTGTGATAAAGACACATTGTACATACAGAATTAATGGCTATTTCATTTGCTAACTAATGTGTTTTTCAATGTACAATAATTTTGTTTACTGTGTGCCTATTTAATTGGCAAACCCTATCCAATGCTTAGTAATCTACAGACAACAGTTGAAATGAAGATCATAACTTAAGTATTAAAAATAAACAATGATCAAGAGTTCAGTATGGGTGATGTAACTGACATTTTGAAATAAATTGAAAAGCCCTTGTTTGGCACACTTTTATTGTTCCAATAGTTTTCTTCCAAAGAGTAACATATCCATATGTATTTTGTGTAAAATATTCATTTTTCATAAAAGCTAAAATTATTCTCCATTTGAATTAATGTAAAATGTTTTTAACTATGATTTGTGACAAGAAACTATATAATATAAATTCCATCAAATATTTAAAGTAATAACACGAACGAAAATGTGAAAAGGAGATTTTCTCCTTTAGAATTGAGCTTCTGAAATCTTTGTCACCCCCTTTTTGTATTTTCAAAATCATGTTTGCCTTTTTCTTTGCCATTTGAGATTGAAGTAGATTTTCTTTTAAAATAATATTTCCAACAGGAGCTCAACTCAAAAACTTAACAATTAGAAATTTCCATTGTTATTATATAGTGCATTTTGCAAAGGTAGAACCTCAATATCCAATTCAATTTTAGAATTTTGGTGTTATTATACATTTTGTAATAATTTATGAGTAAACTAACAGTGAATTTGAAACATAAATTATATTAAAAATAATATTAATATACCTACCTGTAATGCTAATCATTTAAGCAGAGCAAAGTACTGTTTGAAAAATATAAATAAGTGTGTTAAGTATTAAGTTACCCTATTTAAGTTACCCTTAAAATTGAACCACCACTTTTAATGGATGACTTTCTCAAGTTAAGTGAAATCTAACAAAACATTTAGCTCTAGAATGACATTTGCAACTGTGAAATAAGTGAAAGTCAGTTACTTATTTAGATATAGTTATTACAAACATTAGAAGATATTTAATCATAAGTATGAGAAGTAATTAGCATTGCACAGTATTTAAAATTGGATGTGAATAATCAATCTAAATTTCCTAATTATATTTTGGTACAATTTTAAAAATAAAATGAACACTGGATTAAACACTTGGGTTAATAATCTGATACTTGCTAATACAATGACATAAGTAGATGGTGGCAGGTGCACAGTTCATCCCAGAATGCAACATTGCAAAAGTGACACCTCAAAAACATTAAATTTTAAATAAAATTTTAGTTTTCAAAATATTTGGTATGTTATTAAAAGGCACAACTCTTGACTGAAATTAATTTTTATTTTAAATTGTAAAACTTTTAAATTACGCCAACCATTGACGTTTCGTATACTATCTTATTATAACAATTTTATCACACGTGATGATCATATTTCATTTTTTTACAAATAATGCTTAGTTTATTCTACAATATACAATTTTGGGCCAAAGGTTTTACTCCACGTCTCAACCGCCAGAGCTACATCACAGTTAAATGAAAATTTCACCACTAGTTAAAAAGTTCAAAAAAGAATTTGATTACTTTCAGTGATTGCATCTACCTTTTTAATCCATGATTTCAAAAGAAAAAAATTAATAAAGAGTATGTCTTCAGACTCGATTGAATGAAATTTAATCAAATATTACAAACATGAGCAATTTACAGGTTCCATCATTTTTTTATAAAGTATGCCTCTTATAATTTTTTCTGCTTTGAAATAAAATTTGCTATGAGTGATGCTTTGAACATGTGTGTAAATGCAATTGAACATGTCAAGCTCAAAACAAACAAACTCATTAATACATTTTCTACACTAATTTATGAATATTACTAGAAGGTTTTTAATAAAGTATTTTAATAAAGTTTTTAATAAAGTTTTTAATAAAGTCTTTAAGTCAAGTAGTAGACCCCCTTTTATGCCTTCGAGACCATCAGGTTCAGAAACACTATTCTGCATCATAGAGATATTTTTGTATTTTCTAAGTCAAAAAACCTGTTCATTTATTTTTGAACAGCAGTTGGTAGGGCAAGGGTTGTATATTTAAATAAAAAAGGAAGCCACAGTATTTGATCAATTTCTTTTCTATATCCATTAAATGTCTGCAAACACAAATAACAATATTATTACTTTTTTTATTAATAGTTCTATATCTATTTTCTCTTGAATATTCCTCTCATGCACATTTAAGACTCATTTCACGTACAATTTTCTTCACTCTTCCTCAACAACACACAGTATCTTCAAAACAAGTTAAGATACAATCACTAGAAAAAATGTTTCCAGCACAAGGTGCTGTTGCAATACAAAAACAAAATCAATGAAAATATTTAAAAATATATATAAATGATGGACACACTTCACTTCCTAACTGGTTAGCTTGTTTGTAGAACAGTTTGTAGTATTCTGAGCTTCATCTTCAGGTATCAGAGCTTCTGATGGCGCCTCTCCTTGAGTTTTCAATAGATCACGAACCTAAGGGTTAAAAATGGAAGTGGTTAATCTTCAATTCAATTTGAACAAATGAAATTCTCAAAATCATTTACATTGTATATGTTTCATACATTTCTACTTCATTAAAAACCTATATTGGAAGCAAAATTTGAAGAAAATTATTGAGCCATTTTGGGAAAATGTTGAAACTATTATTAATTCTCAGGTACATTATTATGAGGATAATTAATTATGCAATTTCTATTTTACTTTTTTTCCCTTAAATTTTTTTATTTCTCCTTGGTCTGGTCTATAAGCCCTCATCGATTGGGTATGATTCAATGTGCAGAATTTCAATTTCATTATTTTTTTGCAATCATCATGGAAGGAAGATTGGGGCCAAATTCTCAGATTTTAAAGATAAAAAAAGTTAATATTATTTTAGGATAATATTAAATTTTGTTTAATGTGTGTTACAATAAAACAAAACAAATATAATTACTATAAAATAATATGTTTGTCTATTTACTAGTTCCTTGTCAACTTCTCCTATGTATCCATTAGTGCACTGATGATTGCATTAATGGGAAATTATACAATTTGTATTTATATAGGTGTTCCCTCCATATTTTATAATATGCTAAGGAACATCGACTGATATAACAACATACACCCTTCACTGATATAACAACATACACCCTGTATCAAACACATTTAAAATGGGAAAATAGAATTAAAGTTCGCAAGTAATCTTGTGCTGAATAAGGTAAACATATGCAACCCACATTACATCGTACACATGGAGTTTTATTATTATAATATTCATATAGTATATCAATAAAATAATCATAGCTCCATGAACACGAATAACCCTGTACTTCAATTTTTCGATAGCGGCTCATGTCATTAGGTCATTGTTACATTTTCTGCCTTATAAAATGGAACTTTTCAATTTATTCGCGAATATCCTTCTCAACAGGACTTGTGCCCTCAGAAATGGGTTTACTAGAAATATGTTAAAATATTCATTTTATAAGGCAAGAAGAATAACAATAACCTAATGTCATCATAGAAAATACACAATAGAAAAATCGAAATATAGGTCCTAAAAATTAGGATACAAGTTAGGTGTATTGTACCACAATTGTCAAGAGAGACCTTTTTGGACATTTAGTTATTTTTTGAGTTTATTTCCTCTCTAACTCTGAAGGAACATTGGAAGTTGGGTTCTAGTTCGAGTAAAGGGTTTTTTCACTTTTAAAATAAATATTTTCGAAGGGTGGATTGTTCATGCTGGCCCGAATTGCATATTTTGGTTAGCATAAATTCCTTTAAAAACTCAAAATATCATCCATGAAATATACAAAACAAACATTATTTTTCAGATGTACCCAAATATTTTGGGGCACTCCCAATAACTTGGAAGGGTAATTTGCAAAACATCAATGTCAAACAGTTCACACACAAAAATAGTGTGTTATTTGGTGATATTTTCTGTGAATAGCATGTAGTGTGTGAATTTATCTCAAAATCTTCAAACCCAAAATTCAAATTGAAAATCTGTTTCACCTTTTCCACTTCTCTGAATACTCGAAGAAGGTTGAGGCCTGCTAACTTCTTGAGATCTTCTCTGCTCCACGTCGGCTCGCCTGGTTTGGGTTGAGCTAGTCGTTCGAATAGTCGAGGATACGAAGATACGTCTTCGAGACCTTTGGGAACCCTTAAACAAAAGAAGGGTAATTGAAAGCTGAATGTAATCAAAATTCCGACCAACAAAAAAGGATTTTCTGATTTTATTTAGCTTACTTTGAGACACCATCATAGTCGCTACCAATTCCAATATGGTTGACACCGGTAACATTACGAATGTAGTTAATATGATCTGCAAAGTTACACAAATTATTGTGAAACACAGACATTACTTTGGACATGAACTCTTTAACTATTAAGTTGAATGTAAGTTTCAGGTGCACTGACCTACAACGTCTTCGATGGTAGCATTTCTCTCTTCTTTGCAGACTAAAAACTCAGAGAAGAAGTTCACCATCACAATTCCTTTGTTCTGTGGCTGTAATGGCATATTCAAACATGGATTTTAGTACTCACGCATGGAAACTACTACTACTTCTATGTAATGTTTATTGATAGGGAAGTTGTACTTTGCGATAAGGTCAGTAACATTTTGAGGAATGCTTACAGCAAAGTAAATAGTAGTATACAGCCCTACTTTAACTTTCCATGTATTCGTTAAAAAAAGAATGTATGGGAGTATCTTGGCGCACATACTCATTTAAGAATGTTAGAGTGTTTCTATCTCTGTCTTGTCTGTCCACATTTTATTCATAACACAAAGATTCAACTGTACTACTTTCAGAACAGAAACTCTACTTCTGTACTGAAAGTAGATCTTTGGGTTATAAAAAAAGTCACATCAATAACTTATTTGCATAAATAGTAACAAAAAATAAAGAAAGCAAATTATCACAAAGTACTTACTATCATTCTCAGAATTTCATCAGGGACGTTTCGCGTATGATTGCATAAGCTGTATGCTGATGAATGAGAGAAAATCACAGGTGCTTTGGAAACTTCTATAACACTTTTCATTGTTCGTGCTGAGACATGTGACAAATCAACCATCATTCCTAGTCTATTCATTTCATGAATAACAATCTAAAAGACAAAGCATAAATAAATAATAAATACAATAGTTTCACAAAAACAAGAAACAAAAAATTAATGGATTTTTAATTCTATGTTCAAAGATTGACACAAAAGTAATGAAGTCAAATTAAAGTGAAAAAAAAGAAAAACTGATCAATTAATTTTGAGTTAAATTTGCAACTTTTATGGTACAATTCTACTAAGCATTTTTAAAGGAAACTCTTTCTTTAAACAAAAAATTCCATGAATATTAAAGAAAGGGTCACATTTCACGTGAGAGAATAGAGGCAGCATTTGAATGGGAGAGAATAAAACATTACGGCACGAGAATAGGCGCATGTAA